AAAAAAACACTCACACAGAGACGAGCCGAGTTCCATACAGTACAGCAGAGCTGCCGACGTGCCGATGGAGATTAGCGTAGATATACATGGATAAATCAAAAGTGGGTAATTACTATAGCTTCGCGTGCCGGTATTTTAAGGTCCGCCACTGTGTAACCTCTGCGGTAAGTGCATCCAGTTTTCTTTCTTTCTTTTTTTTTTTTTTTTAAAAAAAGGTCGAAATTTCCACAATCGGTATATAGTTTATGCGACGTGTCGCTTTAGCCTTTACTCACAGTGGTGGGTGAGAAATTATGTTTCACCGTTTGCCACGTATAACGTCCGAATCGTATCGATGATTTCGCGATGTACAGACCGAAACACGTAAATCTTCAAGCCAGTGGGGGTAGACAAACGCGGCTCTAAGTATATGTATGCATATACGTGTGCACGCGAGAGATAAAGAGGATAGCCCGGTGTTTCAAGGCCAATGCGGGGAATTCAACGTATACACATCCATGCCGTGCTCGCGGCTGACTCTCGGCCGTAATATCTTTCGGTCATGCATGCACCTATACGTTATTGGAAAGGTTGGGAATTTTCTCTTTTTTTTTTTTTTTCATACCTATCCATCACTATACTTACCAAGGCGGGGTCGTGACATGTATAGGCTGCTCGCGGGTCGATCCTCAATTTTTTGGGGGTAAAACATCGGAAAACTAACGATACTCGCGTAAACCACGTTCATACGTAATTGGTACAAAAAAAGATTCGTTTCGTTGTGGGAACTCGATTGTTGCGTACTTCCACGTTGCTCCGGATAAACAGACTCGAGGTATATTTATATCTGTACACTTGCAACCGTACGGATGATACACAATCGTTACGTACGCGTGGCTTGATATTTTCGTTGCTTACTGTTCACGGGGAAAAGTAGTAGCGAAAACTCCAGTTTGTGGATGTATAGTTTCGAAAGAAAAAAAAGGTATACATATACTCCGGGTGGCTAATGACAAGCGCCGCTACGTCTGTGGTGGCTGGCCTTGGGATGGACCACGTATACAACAGACACAGGCACGCTTGGAAGAAAGAGAAAAAAAAAAAAAAAAGAAAAAAAAAAGCGAGCAGAGAATCGTTGTACACGGCACACTCGAGAGGGGAAGCCAAGAACTTGGCCTTGGGATTTTTCACAGACGCCTGCTGACGCGCTCTCCTTTTATTCCGGCCTTTGGAGACCCTACAACCTCTTCCCAGCAGCCGTGTGGTAGCACACAACTATACATTGTTTTTTCTTTTTTTCCCATCTCCGTACATTATACGTGACGCACGTGGACGTGAGATTTATCTCGAACGGATTATAATATTAACGCATATTGCATGCACCATTTGTCACTGCTTTTTGTGGCAACGGTATATTTATCGTCCAAAAGAATTTGCAAATTTGTGGACCGCATCTAAAATTTGGTGCTCTAGACCATCAGTAAAAGGAAAAAAAAAAAAATCAGTAAAAAACCCTCGCTGGATACACACGTGCGAAAATGAGTTCATCGGAGGTCGATCGAGATTACAATGGTATCCATAAAATCTCTTGTACATATACGAGATACCGTCACGGGTGTACACACATGTCATTCGCAAACCGTGCAAGGATAAAAACAAATACAATTAGTCCGAAATAGCTTTCTTCGGTAGCGCCGAGCTATCCTTCGTTTAACAACCAAACTATGTAGACTATGCAAAGTGATACAATATACATATAGTGGTATGGCTGTATATCAGAGTCGAGCAAGCGATACGCGTTGGACTCTGCATATCGAACGGTATAGGTACAACACGACGGGGAGAAGGATTTACACCCGCAGGAGAAATCGTCGTACTTGTGACGACACCCACCTCAGGCCAACCGCCCAAAAGACATGGAAACGGTATCTCCCGACCCTCCAAAGTAAACATGTAATACGCATTACGTATACCAAAAAGAGGGTCGTCCAGCAAGTTATAGACAGCCCAGCCGTGCTGTATATACACTTTGCTCTCTGCTGGGTCAGGCCACTGGAAAATCGATAGAGCGTGTCTTGCGTGGAAACATCTGTACCTCAACCTACGTCACGAGCTCGCTATCTACGTATAAATTGTACCCCCAACGGGGTACCTTTTATATAGGTGATATGGGTACTCCTCTTTTGTTACGTGCGCTGCACGTGCCACGCAACATAACAACACGCGTGTATACTTTGAGCTTGATTTCAGATCAGGATCGGAATGAATTACCGCACGATGCCTCTCTCCTTATATATTACTTACACTGGCGCGTCTCGACCTTTCTGACCCTCGCTATTGCTGTACAACCTGCAGGACCTCTGGGCCATTGCCATTTTTTTTTTCTCATAACATTTTAAGCACGAGATGTATATTTCTATTATGGGTTTTCAGATAATATGCGCGCTGGAGTATCGCACGTTTACCGTAAAACGTAAATTTTCTGTCGAATAAACGTCACTTCCACGTAACGCGCGCGTTGACTCTCGTCCCGAGTTTTTCCGAGAGCGGTGCATCTATTTTTAAGAGATATTTCACCACCGTTTTCTCGTTAATGTCTTTTTTTTTTTTTCCATTATTGGCACGAAAAAACAGTATCCGATGCAGCGTACGGCGAACTCGTTTGTTTAACCAAACGAATGAAAAAACGAAACCTTATGGCATTTCGTAGGAATGGCAAAAATACTTTGATTGTTCGAGAGAGGCAAATCTCCACCAGCGCGTTGTTTCTTTATTTTTTTATTCATCGAAATTCCATACGCGAAAAAAAAGGAAACTATACTTAGTGTGTTGGTTGTATCTTTCGCGGCAAAACTTTTCCACGAGTCATCCGAATCTGCGTGCCGATGTCATTCACCACGTATACCTGGTAGCCATCAGCCCGTCAAGTGGAACTTGTCGGTTTGGTGATTGGAAAATCGCTCGTTATTATCTGAAACTGTATATGCGCACGTACGAAAACTCGGACAGTTTTTTCGCGGTGTCCTTGTGCGTGTGGTATGTTCACTTGACAGGCCATACCAAAGTTTGCCGAAATCGAAAGGCCTACGGAATGGCTACGTTGAGGGGATGCATTGACGTAAGATCGAAAGAAATATACATTTCCTTGGCACATTGTAAAAAAAAGTCTCAACGTTTTTCTGTCAAGTTAAAATCCATTAGTATGTATATCGATCGGTACGTGCCATTTTATTCCATTACCAATCGTACAAGTTTGCTTTCGCACTCGTTGATGCTCACACCTTTAAAGATAAAATACCTGCTACAACGGAATTCCATCATCACCTATGGGTGTATAAATAACAAACCACTGCAACCGAGAAAGATCCCGGAGAGGAGTGCACAAAAAATGTCACCGTTAAAATAAACTTCGTTACAGGATTGTTCAGAGACGCGTGCAATCGAAGCTTTGGGTGCGAGTCCTTACTCCCTTTTTTTTCCCACCAAAAATCCAGACGACCTTCGCGAACACCCCAACTTTGCGAGTAAAACTTTTCAATTCGCGTGTGTGTGCGCGCGTCGGGCGTTACTTAAATTACCCCTGCAAAATCATCGGAGCCGAAGGAAAAAAAAGCCATTTGGAGATAAAAGCTATTGGGATGGAAAAAAAAAAAAATCGAATGATACGATTCAACGAGTGTGCGTTTGAAGGAAAAGAAAAAAAGAGTGTAGCGGCCATACGTAATTGTGTCGTAACGAGAAAGTCGGCTTTTTCATAAAAACACGCGAGCCCCCCTCGGATATTTTTGGCCAACGAATTGCTATGAAAAATTCAATAACCCATGCGATCGAGCATAAATTAATCGTCCACGTGGAGATACCGTACCTATATACATACATGTTCAAGAATGATTGGAAAGCAAGGAAAAAAAAAAAAGAAAAAAAAAAACAGAAAAAGTTGATTTGCAACCGCGTTGTACATCGACCGACCCGAAGAATCGCCGACGTATAATTATCAATTATTACGCGTGCCATCGGCTCACGGAAATCATAATAAGGAAAGAAAAAAAAAAGCGAGTCTCTGCGCGCGTGTCGAGCAACGGACTATCGGCAATCGTATACTTCCAACACTCGAAATTCCTTTCGTAGCGCAAACTCTTGTCAAAAGCTCGTCGCAAGCTCGCATCCGAGGGGGATATCGCAATAACCCACGTATATAACAAAGTAAATATTTGCACGGAGTCCTTACGTACGTAACATGACACACAGACGCGATTAGAAGCTATACGAAAACCCGACGACACGAGGCGCGTGGAATTTTGCCTTCGGACAAAAGTGTTGGTGCATCGGTGGGAGCAGGATCCATTTGTGTGGGTATACCCTCCTGGGAGAGGATGTGGCACGAGAGCCCTCCTCATCCTCTCTCTTTGCAGAGGTATATACACGTATATACATACACCTATGTGATGCTTTTACCGACGTCATCCGCAAAGGAAAAAAGGGGAGATACGTATAGGGAGTTGCTCGCGCATACGGGGAATATTCCACGGAAATGCGCATCACCAGGGTGTGTACGATCGAGATTAACGTCGTTCCATTTGTCGTGGGTAACGTGCGCGAAAAATGCGCAACGGGAGCTTTTGCGAAAGAAGCCCCTCCCACTGACTCGAGCTTTCGAACGAGATTCGTCGAGTCGGGTACACCACGTGATCCAATTAGAACGGTATATGACCTAAAAAAAAAAAAAAAAAAATCTGAAAAGCTCTCCTTACCGATTATTCTAGATTTCCCGATTTTCCTTCCTTTCGTAACAAAAGCAACGTTTCCACGGAATCGGTCGTATAAAACCGGCGAGCAAGCGCGTAAAGGAAGCCCAACGGCAAAGAAAGAGAGAGCCGATTGCGGTGGGTGGCGGCGCTCCCGTCCCCGAGAGGCATACACGCGCACACTTGCGCAAACCATCCGATCTCTCTCTCTCTCTCTCTTTACCACTCCACTCTCGCCAACAGGGCAGAGCTTCAGTCGACTGCTCGCTCGTCGCGCGGTCGCTGCCCCGCGTGGCCCCGTCCTTTTTTCGCGCTTTCGGTAACGCTTTGCGACTACTTTACAACAATATACAAGATAATATACCTTGGTGTGTACACGTTGTGTCGTACCCAAGCTCGCGGTGTGATACAGCCAACACTGCGCGGATATATACAAGGGATCATAATAATACAACACCCATAAGTAGACAAAGAGGATACGGGTTTGCAAGCACTGGGCGACCGCACGCGAAACTATACCGTGTTTTATTTGTATACGCGCGAGCAGTGTCAATTGGGAAGAAAAAAAAAAAAAAAAAAGAAAAAGTGCCAGTGTATACACGACATTTCGTGTAATTTACGTTGTACAAGTATATAAGCCAACATGCGCGTACAGTGTTTTAACGCTTAGCTTGGCCTATAGGGGATCGGGTCGTTGCACTTTCGATCGCTGCCGCGAACGGGGGGCTTTCTGTGCGCGTTGTACACCCAACGCGGAGTGAATTATAAGATAATATCGACTCGCGCAAGTGGTACGTATGTGACGCGATAAGTGCGTACACCTGCGTGGATCTCCTGGTAAACCAACGAGCGGGGGAGAGGCCTAGCTCTCGAAAGCTCCGTGGGATCAAAGGAGCGTGTACAGGGTACACCTGTAAACCACGGCTCGAAGCTGGGTGGCTCCGGGGAGTGCGGGAACGGCGACGGTGGGGGTCGCGTGGCCACGATCATGACCTACGGCACGTCCTTACACAACACCGGCGACAAGTCGCGGCTTCAACCCGCCGACTTTTACAGCCGGTACGAACTCATACCGTGCAATATACCTATGTACATACTTTCTCCCTCTTATCCTTTATTGTTTCTCTCCTCCGATAACGCCAATTAATTTTATTGCACGTACATCGATAAGAACCTCAAGTTTGTAAGACACGCTCGAGTAAGTATATACAAAAGAGAGGTAAAACAGCGATAAAGTGTGATGCGTACAGGATTGGTGCAAACAGATGTCGTGGTTTATAATGCCTATACCTACTTATATATACACGAGGGAAAGAGAACGGAGAATCCGGCGCACACGGTATTGATCGAACTTTCAAAGATAACACCCGACTTGATCCGTGTGTTGTATATACACCCCATACGTGCGAGAGTTTTTTTTTTTTTTTTTTTTTTTTTTTTTTTTTTCTTTTTTTTTTTTTCTATCATACGGAGTTCCCGTGCGTCCTCGGGTGAGACGAGACGCATGCTTTTTTCAAGTGTCTACATATGCGGGCAGTGACGTGAGTCACATTTTTCGGTCAATGGTGAATATATTGAGTTATACGTCGTGCACAACAAACACTTGGCTAAATGAATTTCCTTTTTTTTTTTTCTTCCAATTTCTTCGAACCCCCGCAGAAAAAGTACACATACATCGATGACGAGAAAAAAAAAAAAAAAAAAAAAAAAAAAAAAAAAAAAAAAAAAAAAAAA